CATGCAAGATTAACACTCATTGTAATCTAAAAATATAAATAAAGAAAAAAAGTACAAGAGAAATGTAAAGTACACTCCACACGTTTTACAAGCTTGAAACTGTACAAAGAAAACAAAAACACACTACAACAACTTCCAGCAATTTAAATCCTCTCAAATGGTTAAGATATGCAGTAATATCCACAAAGAAATATCTCAGCTTCATTTTATTCCCAAGATCTGCAGGCCACGGTGGTGGGCACATTCACTACCAACATCTGCAGGACACGTTGGGGGGCAGGCAGCAATCTGCATTCATTATATGCAATTGAATATTAAACACCAATTTCATCTTCTTCCCCTTCCTAGATTCAGTGAGATCAATTCATAAGAACAATTTGGGCAAATTCTTGAAGGAATTCTTAATTAGTGAACATTAGTCACAATTTAAAGGAGAAAGAAATTGAGAAAAACAATTACATACTTACATTTTGAGGATGCTGTGGTGCTTTCTTCGAATTAGTACTTGAGCTAACTTTATTATTCATCTGGCAGCATGTAATATTATGACATATAACCAATGAATGTCAAGGAAGATTATTCCTAATTAATATATGTTTGATGGCTCATAACATGCAACTTTTTAAAAAGTAATGAATAGATACTATGACAACCGACCATGAATTCCATATTTTTCCCCTAGAAGTTATATTTACCAAGGCAAATTTGGTCTAATAACAATTTGCACCGTACACTGCCTCTTCTATGCTTGATAACTTTAATAGTAAAAGTGAGCTATATAAGTGGAAAGTACTTCCAGAAATCTGCTGAGGGTGACCTTAGGCTCAATAATTCATCTTCTACACTAAGGCTAGCATCTCATCCCATCTTTCATCTAGTAACATTTCTCACCTTCCAATTTATTTTTTTCAAGCTCTCTAAGAGAAAGTGTAGAAATGTAAAACCAATGGCCTTTCGTCAAGCCTCCTTAGACCTTTTCCAACGAAAATCGTTGAAGGCATCAGAGGTTTACGAGTAACTATGGACTACTCAAGCAGTATCTACTTGCAAGCCCAAAAAAGTGGATACTCCTATGGCCATGATTAAAGTGAACGTGCAATTTCATGCCAAGTCTGATGTTCATTCAGCTCACTATGAGCTTGAACAGAATTAAATGGGCCAATTCAAAATTGCCTCAAGACAACCATCAAGAATAGCATAAAAACTAAACATTGTCCACGAGATATATTTGATCAATAAATCATGAATATTCACATTCAAGAAACTACATCAACAAAAGGCAAAAGTAAAATTGTCGAGGGTTTCTTTCCCGGAGTGAAAGCTGGAATTTGGAGAGGTCTTTTGGGAGAGGAGTGGGAGGTGAAGTCTTGGAAAGGAAGAATTAAAATTGGAAGGACTTATGTGAAAAAAATAAATAAATAATAAATAAATAAATTTCTCCGTCCGCGCTGTGCGGACAATTTTTATTTTTTTTGTGCGGCGTGTTTTTTTTTTTCACACACTTCGCGTTAGGGGTGGGCAAAAACCAACCGAACCCGCTCAAACCGCCCAAACTGAATCAACCTGACCGGGTTGGGTCAGTTTTTTTGTTGTTTTTACACGGGTTGGATGTGTTGACTGTGCAGGCATGTTGAGTTGGTCGGGTTATGGGTTAACTCAAAAATATCGAATAAACCTGCCCAACCTAACCTGCCACTTTAAAAAATAATAATAAAAAAAATAAAAGAAATAAAATGTTTAGAAAAGTAAAAGAAATCTAAAAAGTATGAGTAGATAGTGTAACTGTAATTACCTTGATGTATTTTAGAGGAGGTGCTTATTATTCTTCCCACAATAAATGTAGTATAAGTTTTTTATGTT